CACCAAATTCATAAGACAGGTAGACTTGTATGCAAAATTACTTGTGGGAAATTTTCAAGTCTACAGATTATTTAACCTTTGAGTTAAATAAGGGCAAAGAATGTCGAACCTCAGATCGGTGTCCGAGGTGCCCTCAAAATTCCTCATGCAACCCCTAGCTATCTCTTGTAAGCAAAATATAGCTAGTGGTCATTACAAGTCAGTGCCTTATTTGATCTTCAAAGGGTCACGGTGACGAAAAACCTGAGATATCACTGATTTTTTTAAATTTAGTCCCATGGATTTAGCTGTGCGGTATGCTGCTAAGAACAAAAGGTTGGTCGGATCATCCTAGGTCAGCGACTTCCTATGAGTTCCATACAATTCGAATATCATGCCTGTTGAATCCTCTGGAATAAACTAGCTCCAATTGAGCGCCAAAAAGGCATAAAGCACGATGTCCCGTAAGAAGGCAATTTTGTTTTGACCTCAGTCTGACCTTTACGCCTGATTCAAGGTAGCTGGTATCATGGATTCCTAAATGATTCTAAATTCATGTGAACTAAATCCAATTGGAATCATTTGGCCAAATTATAGCTTCATTTATCTGGTAGTCTAAGAAACCAGCCCAAAGGTGCATGGTTTCATCTATTGTTCCACTGTCGTATCGGATCAACGATTCCTTATGAATTGCTATCGCTGACAGCCATGGCCTGACTGATCTGCTATGGGTCAGCGGCCTTGCAAGGTAAATATTTTTCATATGAAAAGATCAGCTATTATTGGCTATAGCTTTATCAGGTTTGGCGCTGCACTTAGGGTGCCAAATTTACTTCATAACCGAGCGCGTTTCAACGAAAAGTGATGCGTCTGCTAACGTTCTTACGCTGCACTTGTGTTCAAGAAAGTTATTTTTGGCGACATCCGTGAGGTTAAGATACCTATTTTTGATTTCGCATTTGCTACCTTGGTTTAAATATAACTCAAACGAAAATCAGTGCAAAGGTTTATCACGGTACACAACTATTCATATATACACCTCCATGGCGATATTGACATAATGACCGTCATGGAAGCGGCGTGTAGCCATTTTCCAAGGCATGCGTAAACGTGCGTCGTACATTATGAAGCAAAAAGCAAACCAATGTCACTAAAAGAGAGTGTACTGCCCAATGCAAGGCGAAAGCACGATGCTAGCGGGTATTTTTCTCATCCGATGATAAATTCCTCATTTTGTAGATCCATTATCAGAGCTTCCAACAAACTCAAGAAATACAGCTTTGCTGCGTATTTGTCATTGACGACCAAAATGCGAACGCGTAATAGTCTGTTGTTCCTCATTTCTTAAGGTGGCACGCTATAAGTCTCTGATTTTTTTTACATCTACTAATTTATTGATAGGGGCTTTTAGTGATCACTAATGCGTAACAATTTAAAACATAAACGCTCTTACGTTGCGGTATTTGTTTATCTCTGCCCCTGGAGCCGTGCTCAGTGATGCGGTCGATGAAATGATGCCGAGGGAACGTTTTGCGCTGCATCAGCAGCTCTAACCAGGTCCCTCGAGTTCAGGCCTCTCTCTGACCGAGTTCCCCGCATCCAGGCCTCTCTCTAATAATCGGATTCCTGCGTTCAGGCCGCTCCCTGACCAGGTTCCTTGAGTTCAGGCTTCTCTCTGACCGGGTTCCCGCGTTCAGGCTTCTCTCTAAATGGGTTCCCCGCGTGTAGCTTCCCTCTCTTTCATCCATTTCTCCGCATCCAGACCTCTTTTCCGGGACGTGGTCAACCTCGAAATTGATGAATGGATGATGTGAAGCCAAGGGTCCATGGTGACGTCTCCCTCCTCCCCCCTCCCCCCTCCCGCCCGCCCCCCCCCCCCCCCCCCCGACTGAGCCAAAAGAGGTTTACATTTGAACTGTGCAATTTCTCAAGAATTAATTCAAATTAGAAGCAGCCAGAAAGAGCCTACATTGATCCCGAAGGAAATCAAGGCTGGGTGCTCGCTGAAGGGATACGTGAACTGGCGGCCACGCTCATTGCGAATGTCCATAATTCAACTTCTGACTTCGTGCGGTTTGCCACTTCTGGTATAGAAACGTTTATGCAGTACAAAGAGCTTCCTGCTCTGCACTATGTTGTTATATATGTTTTAACTGCGATTATCCCAGCTTGGGGAGCAATTATTTCATCAAATAAGCGTTAAAAGGTATGGTCATAGTGGCAAGTTAGCGCAAGAACGCTTCAGATCACATGATCAGCCTCACAGTCGTGTGTTGTAGGTGAGAAATGCAAGATTTCAGAACCACTACAGTACCGCTCTTTGTTGCTGAGTTAGATGCCGGAGATGTTTTTTTTTGTGTGGTGTAGTTTGGTGTCAAGTGTAATTTAAATGGAATAAATTATTTCTATTTCAGTGTGTTGAATTAAACGTGGAATCATCCACCTTTCAGGTGAAATCCGGCTGTGGACTGACCTATTGCGATTACGCGTGACCGGTTCGGACAAGAACTCCAACATTTACTTTACTCGGTCTAGAGCTTTCAGATTCTATTCGCTATATCGACATCTGTGCGATTGTTTGATTGGAATTTCTGCTATGGCTTTCAAAACACTTGTGTGCATTGATACTTTTGTCGATGACGCGCATAACAACCATTGTTCAGCGGACCGTAATCAGCATGCCTCTGAAGGAAATGGACGAAGGGTATTACACCGCATGTCGACAACACTGCTCCACTCAAATTATTTAGATTTAGTAGAATTCTGCAGGTTAAAGATTAACAGCATGGAACATATTGCAGTCTGGGCAGGGGGTGGGGCAAATCATTACAGCAAGACATAGCGTTACAAATCTTTTAGGATCTCTTAGATATCTGATCTGTGAAGGATGTCTGGATAGCGCACTAGTGATGACCAAACGTGACCTGAGACAGTTAGCTGCTTATTGCATTACAAAGAGTTTTACGGTGACAATTTTGTCACAATCATTTGTTTGTTTTACTTTAAGCGGATCTCTTGGTGTCTTGCATTTTTATGTCCGACTAGCCTAGCGCTCTGTTTGTTCACCAGTTTTTAGTAATATGCATCCCGGCTAATTTGTGTTCACATTTTTTTTAATCGGAATCGGTTTGACAGCGAATATGGTGCATATAAGGACATCCCATTTTCCTTCTTCAGTAATGTTCGCTGGAACAATCGAGCATACAGCTACCGTGTATGGGCTATTGCAATGGGAAAGAGTTCCGTGCCGTGCTAGCATGATTAATCAGGCTATTTGAAGTGTCTGAGAGTTCATGTTATTATCATGGACTCTGACATTTTGCATTGTTTGATATGTATCATTTGTATATCGTATATATATATATATATATATATATATAATTATGTGACATATGATATATGTACATAAGCATTTTCGTACAAAAAAGGGTAAAAAATGCAGTCATTGGCATGTTACAAATAATCCATTACTTCACATTGATCTGTCTTGTTCCACGTTACAATGACCTGCAGCGTTATTACCAGTCGGCACCAATCTGTCATATATTCCTCTGAAAATCTCCCAGTGAGTTCTGTTTATGCCTTATAGAGCATGTGCCTGCATTAGTTAGAGTGAAAACAAGTAATTTTATGGTGGCATTACTCATTCAATCTATGCCTTGGGCTGACATTTCAAGGAACAATCAGTGCTTGTGGCCTTGTTGGTTTTCAATCGGTTCAATCCGTGTGGGCTGGGAAATTGTACAATCCGGTCCGGTACGGTCCTAGTCTCCATTTTGGTGCAAGTTTCTGCACAATTTCAATGCGATCCGTGGATAAATCCGCAATCTGTGAGTTCGTTTCACATGTAAAGTGCTGTAGTTTTGAGCGATTTGGGAGTTAACCCAGACATTCATTACACATGGGCTTTGAGATTGACGCCAAGTTGAGGTGATCACTAGCTCAAACCCGGTCCCAGTGACCGCGTCAGTCAAACCTTGCCGGCTCCAGGCCAGCCGCATGGATCCATGCCGAAGCACGAGCCAAACCTTGCCGGCTTTAGGACAACCGCAAGGATCCATGCCGAAGCACGAGCCAAACCTTGTTGGCTTGGGCCAGCCGCATGCATCCACTACGAAGCACGAGCCAAACCTTGCCGGCTCCAGGCCAGCCGCATGCAGTGTCGGATCCACGTATTTATAAAACATTGTGTCTCTAAAAGATACGGAAACATTTGAAATAGTGTTATGGAATCGTAAAGTACGAGTGAAACCCTGCTGTATCAGTAACCCTACTTTGTTTTAGTTAGTTTGTCTAGTTTGTACGCTCACGGAGGTCAAGTCATTTGGTGAATACCTCTCTGACGATTTCCATGTCCATGGTGTACCCCGATTTGCCACTAGAACTCTTCAATTATTTCGAAATAATCTGGAGATCTTTGTATGATTTTGAGAACAGCATAATTCGTAAAAACAGGACAAGTTAGTGCTTGAATTAAGCACCATTGTCAGTCGTTTTGCACACTTTTTATTCGGCTACGGACAATAACGATTATCTTGGCTTGGTGCAATGGACATAATGTTGCTTCTTCTAGTCGGTTTTTCAGGGCATACATATTATTGGTATTTTGCTGCACGACTTTGGAAGATATTACCCTGCTTTGATTGCCAAAACAACCTACCTTACTGGTCGGCCCAGAGCATCCAACATTTCAGAAACGGTTCGTCCTGCAGCCAGTCCATGATCGATTTGGGTACAGTTTATGTACGATAGTAAATTATAGATAACTGTTATGATTATAGATGACTGTTATTAATATAGATGTGAATTAACTACAGACGTTGCTTGTAAAGCTCATTGACAAGCTACGAAACAAGTGTCTACGCTAAATTTACGTTTCGGGCTTGTCTGAGTCTTGAGGCATTTCATTTAAATATTACGCAATGTTCTCGTACAGAACCTGCAACGCCTATCGCATCTACCGAGCACAGGGTTCTTTCAGCGTTGACGACCTGTTCTGCAAAGAAACCTCAGTTGGCTCATGGGTGGACTGTATTTCATATATAATATATACATGACTATGATAACATTCAATGTTATTCATCTCCTACTGCAAAAAACGGGGCATGCGCAACAACTCGTTACCTATGGCCAACACATACCGCATACAAAGCACAGGTGAAATCAAAAGCGCCTGGCGAGGATTTACATTGGCCAGGCATGAATGAGTAAAACTGCTTTCAATAGTCATGGCAATTCCCCGAGCTCAAAGGAAGAAAAGTGAATAAATATGACACCACGAGTCCATAAGGGAGATTTTTCCACTGTAACACTTCAGCAGAAGTAGCCAGATGAACGGACGTTGAGCCTTCACAGGGTGGTAGAGTTCCGTTCAAAACTGACTTCAGTTAGCCTATTTCTAACACAAAACGGTGCAGCATTCATCTGAAAAAAACATTTGCGAACCGTGCGGGCATAAATTACAAACTAGCACAAAATCACAGTCTGATCCCCGCCCTGGCCTACACCAGATGCATCTACGCGTGGGAGCGGGTACGGCAGAGAACGGGCCCAAAACGGTGGAGTCGGTGCCGCGCAGGTTGCACCAGGCGCCTCCCGGCCGCGACGGACGGCCCTGAAGTCAGCAGCTGCCGGCCTCGGGAGCTGGCGCAGCTGTCGGCAGCTGCCGCTCCGGAGTCGCTGGTCGGGCGGCTGAACATGTCACCGGAAGTCATTAGCCTAGGGTTGCTGGTCACCAGGAGCCACTAGTCTAGGGTTGCTGAGCTGGGCGCTGGAGCCACCAGTCTAGGGTTGTTCGTCGTTGGGAGCCACCAGTCTGGGGTTGCCGGTCGCTGTAAGATTTGGGTCTGGGGTCGCTGAACCTGTCGCTGAGAGCCGCCGGTCTGGGGTTGCTGAGCTGATCGCCAGGAGCCGCCGGAAGACAGGGGCTGGGATGCAGGCTTGTCTTGCCAGGCGACTCGAAGCTGCCAGTCTGCGCTGGCATCTGGCCAGTCATCAGGCCTTGAGGGCCTGAAAGTTTTCCTCCTGGACTGCCCTGGCCAAGAGTAACCTGAAACAAACGCTGGGCCGTTACAAACGAGTGGTGACGGCTCCGGTCAGTACTTGTGTTCTGTTCCGGATTACCACAGACTTTCTATAATTGTTGTTCCCGCTATGCAGATATAAAAATATGATTGGATGTCGTTGACCAGGATTGAGCATGAAGATTAAGCATGCATAATTGCACACTAGCACTGATTGCCCCATTCACATCAATGCCATTTATTTGGGAATAGAACACAGCAACGGCCCGAAAAGTAGGCCGAAAGGGCCAGGCAATCACCTCAGAGACCAAAGCCCATAGAGTGGTGGTAAGCAAGAGGGAGAGAGAGGGAGACACGGAGATAAAATTCTACTTACTATATAGACGGAAGATATGTAGATACATGCATATATTTGTGAAGTCACCTTCTGTAAAGGGTTGACGTGCAGTCAGTAGTTGTCGGAGATGTGCAAATCCAGTCTAATCTATTGCCATAGAACATGCATAACGTTGTCTCCTGGCGTTTGCTCGTTGCGGTTAGAAACAAAGAAACATGCCGTCTCTCTTGCACAAAGTGCACGATTGATTGGCCCCATCGTGCAGTTAATGAATCGGCTGTAAGGTCCAATAGTCTTCAGATAGCTTTGAACTCTGGCCGGCTATTGTCCTCTCGTCCGCGTGAGGGCCTCGGGTACCGAGCACGCCTCCAAAGGGCCCACCGATCACATCCGCCAACGCCGCACCAGCGGCCCGGCACGCCGCGCCGGGCCGGCCGGAGCACCCGCCGGCCGACCGCCACGTGTGGGCCGATAAATTCGCGCGCCCACTAGCCGCTGTCAGAGAGCTCAGGCGGATGGCAGCTCGCGGACGGCGGCGTCGCCGGCCGTCCCTGAGTCAGCCCGCCACCCGCCGAACGGGTCAGGCGTCAGCGCGTGACAGGCTGCTGTCGCCCGCTGCAGGCACGACATGGAGTCATCCTCAGGCCCCTGCTCCGCGGAGTCACTCTCTGACCTCATCGGTCTCGGCGTCCTCCACTGACCGCGCTCCGCCGCTTCGCCGGGCGCTCGACGCTCGGTGCGGCCCGTGCGGGAGACACACGAGCCGGCGTCTCACGGCCACACTCACGCGCTGCCAGCAGAGGATCTGGCGGTGAGCGCGATGCGTTTTTTAAATGATGGGTACTCTGACTGACTGCTGCACTTTTCGCCGCACATATGAAGTGGAAAAACTCGGTACCACTGGCGGGAAACATTTGTAAACTCACATTTAGAGCAACGTGCATCTAACGTGCCGCTGCTCTCCTATCATTTCCATAGCTGCCGCATTCAGAACATGCAGTCCTAATCACTGTCCATCAGCTGAAGGATGTGCGGTCTAAGCGTTCACCCATCTAGATGCGCCACATGAGGCATCACACCTACATCGGCAAGATCTAGCCTATTCATTTCGCGAGCAAGCAAGCAAGATCCAGCCTATTCAATGGCCAAAGATAGAGAGCTTAACGAACAGGGTGGCATAGGGCCGGGACTGCCAGAGAGGCCAGGGATTACCAGACGCCAGCTGAGTCGGCATCGGACGCAAAATGCAATATCCACCAGATTTGTGCGGTGTTCTCAAATTAGACACATTTAGTTTCTCAGCGTAACAGCGGCCTTTCCGCTTTTGAGCACTCATGCCAACCTTAACGCGCGTGATTTTCCGCGCGACATATTCACTTTTAACGACAAATGGAGTACATATCGGCAACGTCTCTTTATTCTCTTGCCCTATTAGACGGTGGGCAGGGCAGGGGACAGCGGTGTCCATGGGGAGGACCCATGCCCGCCCTCAATTAGCCTCCCTGCGTCTCCAGCTGGCCATCCATCGCACGCGTCACCTCCAGTGACAGCGCGCTTTCAAACACGGCGTCGTAAAGCCATTAGCTGGCGGGAGGATCGGGGACCGTCAGCGCGCTGGGCGGCCGCCGGCGCGCACGGGCGCGCCAAAAAAGCGCCACGCCGCGCCGGCCGCACTAAATCGCGCCGCGCCGCGTCGCCCCGGCTGTCGGCCGGGCGAACCGCCCACAATTAGCGGCCAAATGTATAGCGTCCTGGCGACGTGAGTTACGCCCCGGGCCGGGGACCACCGCGGCCGGCGACACGGCGGCCCGCGCGGCCCGCACGTGATCCGTGCGCGCCCGAGCGGATCGCCTCCCCGCCGCGCGCCCTGGGTGGCGCCCCGGCACGTGCGGCCTCTCGCCGACCGGCCCGGCTCGATGAAGTGATCCCGCGCGGCCGGGCTTCGTTATATGGGCCAGACGGCTCAATATTGTGAAACGGTCCGACGCCGGCGACGCCGGCGAGGACCGGCCGCGGTCGCCACTCAGCGTCATTATACCGCCCCGCCCGCCTGGCCTCTGTGCGGAGCGAGCATGCCCTGGGGCCGTCATGAGCTGTCAATGTCAGCGGACTCTTGAGGCCCTCCGAGGTCCCGCTGAGCGCCTCTAGACCTGACCGTCAGCGGGTCGGTCGCTCGGTGCCGCAGACGCTCACACGCTGTGCCTGCCGCGAACTTGTACTGCCGGGCTTGAAAGCTTCCACGATGAAAACCCTTTCTTGGAGGCCAAACCACCCGCCCTAATCATAGGTCTTCGGCGAGGTAACATGGCAGCTGGCCTTGATAGAACTTATGGCACAGCTTTGTCCGGGCGGCCCTTTGATGCCACGCGGCGTCTCGGCGCGGGCCTCACAGACGTGCTCAGTCCCGGCCAGGCACGTGACCACGCCTTCCAGTCGCTGCGGTCCATCCATGCTTTGGTGTCATTTCACACGATCGAAACGCGAAACTAATCTGCCCAAACCCAAAGTTTCTTGAGTACGGACCCCGCCGATCCGTGTCGATCAGCCCGCGATAATGGCCGCCACTCGAGTTGCATGTTTGCAAAGGAAAAATGTCCTCGAGCGAGCCTGATGTCGAGGCCGCCGCCGACGAATCTCCAGCGCAAGTAGATTAGACTGAGCCTGTGCATTACTCTGTGGCAAGACGTCGTTTAACTAGGTATCCAGCTTCGATGGTATTATCCACCCTCAATCAATTAATCCCGGGCTAAAGATAGGACAATCAGACGTGGGCTGCGGTGTTGCGAAAAAATGAACGGCATGTCGGCGTCTTTTCATGTGCTCCGTTCTCAACCAAACCACGAAATCACATACCCCAGCAAAGACTCCATTCAAATCATCTTACATTCAATGAATACTAACTCGTCATAAATCTTCTGCCATCGAAGCTTCGCGGCTTTGTAATGTAATTGATGCATTTATTTTCAGTAATCAATTTTACTACACCATTAATAACGGTGTTTCGTGAACAACTTGTCTGTCGGTAACTGATGATCCTCGGATGATAAAGCTGTTTTCGTCTCCATTACAGGCCATGATCAAGTCATTAGCATAACGAATACTAATACATTTCTTTTGTTGACGCGTGCACGCTCCACGCGCCGGATCAGAGGTGCGCACGTCCCACATCGCCCCTGTCGAGCCTCGACCGCGCCGGCCGCCAAAAAACGCGACAACCACGGTGACGTATGAGACAATAGCTCTCCCTGGCGGCGCATGTAAAAAGGTGTGTCACCTCCTATCTTGGTACATCAGGTCTTAATCCTCCGACTTCGAGCGGCGGAGAGAAGACGACGAAGCGACCAAGACTGAATGCGTCAGTTCCTATCATTATAAGGCCAAAAGCGATGAGGGAAGAGATAAGCGGAACAATGTGGATCCCGCTACGGAAGAGAACTTTGCCGAGAATTTATTCAGCCCAAGGAAAGCTGGCAATTTCTCCAAAGTTATTCTGCCTCGGGTAGTTTCACGGATGTGACTGTCTTCAGCTGCCTTAAAATGGCAATAGACTCATACGCCGACAGGCCAGGGTGGGCCTGCCAGCCGGCATTCCCGCTCTGTTATGTTCCGGGTGGCACGCACCGATCTAGCCAGGAGACAACACCATGCTCTGCAGATACGATCAGTAAGGCCAGTGTACCGGTTGCCTCGAGTCAAAAGACACCGAGAAAACTAATTACCATGCGTTTACCAGACTGAGTTAAGACCCATGCTTCCATGCCAGTCGAGATTCTATTTAGGTACCTCTACGGTGAGAAAGAGAAAGGTGGAACAATTAGAAAACTACTATCTGCTTACCTGAGATCTCTTCTGTTGCAGGACTGAAGCTCATTCCGAAGCTTGTAGATGTCAGCACTGTATTTGGCTGTGTCATGAGACCTCTCGTGAATCATCAGGTTGTAGGCTTTCCTGAAAATCAATGAATGATCAGACACGCGCGTGGTCGGTCTTCCGGTCCGCGTTCTCCGTGTGACTACCGACGCGTTACGGTTTACTTCCGGTTGACAAAAGCTCGACCACAAAGTTAATTTTACGAACGCCACGAAAAAGACTACCGACACGAATGACTAATTGCTGGTCCAAACAGCCACTAGATTTGGCAAAACAGTAGAATGTTTCACCACAGGCATGCTTGCTGTAGCTAACTTGTTTTAGACTGGGCAGCGAAATATTGGAGGGCAAAATGTTGATGGTACAGTTGTGTGGCCCAGTATAGCAGATGTGTTCATTAGATTAACTAACAAACTGCATACTCGTATGTTTAAATTACACTAAGCCAAATAATAGCGCATGGTAGGTTGAAAATCACACCATTGGTTTGCAACATTTGCCTCCGATGGTTGGACTTGCGCAGCTGCACATCCAGACAAAGCCTCAGTGCAAAGGGCCCAACGGACCGGCGTGCACAACTACACACACACACACACACACACACACACACACACACACACGAGTGGCCATCGCAACCGCAGTGGGGCCACTGCCGCCTTCGGTCGTTTGATCGGGGATTGTAGGCGGTCTAGGTCTGCGCAACGGCCAGGCGAGCTGAGCAGTGCCACGCGCGGATGTGGAATTTTGAAAATGGAGATGCCTCTACCGACGTAAAAGATCGTGACCATTCGGCATATGGTGCGCACACAGTTATCCGATTTGAATGTGAGAATAGTGAGTGTCCCTGACTCTAATGTGCATCCATCTGGATCCGCCCCTGCAGGCCTTTACAGCGGCGACCTTTGACCGCTGCACAGACTGAGGAACGGCCCAATTAACGGCTCAGATTGCGGGAGCGGTCACAATCCAACTCGTCTGCAGGATAACGGCAGGTCGGCACTAGATAAGTAACAGCAAGTCGAGGCGGAGCAATGCAAAACAAAGCAAGTCGGACCGTTCGGGAGAACCAGAGTCATTGGAACCATCGAGGGTTGTAAGACCAAGGGTAGTTAATGGAAGACAAGTTAAAAACTCGTCACTGATTGGCTCAAAGCGTGGATATTATCCCACGGCTCGGCCCGCACAGGCGGGAATGGTCAGCGCCGCGTAACAATATACCGGAACGACAATATACCGCGCAACAATATACCCCCAGCCGGAAGTCAGGTCCTGATGTCGCTTGAGTGAACAATTATCGCCGCAGCAAATACCGGGCTCCGGGTGTTCTCGGGCAGGGCGGTACGGCACAGCGGGCTCCGAGCGTTCGGCGTGCGGGGTGGTACGGCACAGCGGGCTCCGGGCATTCTGTGTGCGGAACGGCACGGCAGAGCGGGCTCCGAGCGTTCGGTGTGCGGGGTGATACGGCACAGCGGGCTCCGAGCGTTTGGTGTGCGGGGTGGTACGGCATAGCGGGCTCTGAGCGTTCTGTGTGTGGGACGGTACAGCACAGCGGGCTCCGAGCGTTCTGTGCGCCGGGTGGTACGGCACAGCGGGCTCCGGGCATTCTATGTACAGGGTGGTACGGCACAGCGGGCTCCGGGCGTGACGGGACCTGTCCGACCCGTTCGCTGGCTGCCGGCATCCGGCGGCTGCAATGGGCTCAGGGCGCGCTGAAAGCGGCTTCAGCTGCCACGACTGCGGTTAGCCCAGCCCCGTCTGGAGTCAGCTCGGCTCGGACGTTCCGCTTCTTGATGCGGGTAATAAGCTGGGTTCAGGGGCGTGCCGACGGAACTGGCCGTAAGACGGTCAACAAAACGGATCATCAAAGCCTCGCCCCACTTCCTGTACGGAAGCGGGCGAGGCCGTCATCGCGTCGCCGGCGCTACAAGGAGTCTGTGGTCACCAAGCAGCACCCTCTCTCACCTGAACAGCCGCTGGCAGAACTTGCAGGTGAAGTAACGGTCGGGGGAGCCGGTCCTGTTGCCCATGCCGAGGTGGGATCGATCATCCATTTCAAAGTCAGTGTCCAGCATGACTACACCTAAAAGGCAGCAGGTCCGTGAGAGACAACACTGGGTGGCGGGCGAGGAGGTACAGCCTCGTCGACGAGCTTCTGACCACCTGGAGAATTAGCCACTCAAGTGCTGAAGGCAAAGTCACTGGTCTGTAAACAATACCTGAGCTGCCAGAGCCCAGGCTTAGTTGAAACGAAACAAAAGCTAATCAAGCACTGGAACACCAGTTAAAATCACCTCTCACAGTCAACTGCACGCAAGCCTCACCCAAACATCTCCCGCGTGCGACACGCACACATTGCAGACCCCCATCAGACGACGGGAGCACACTATCGACACGCCGGCCGGGAAGCACGTGCACCACCACCACCAAGCACCGACCGGAACCGAGCGGCGCCGCTCCCTGGCAACAGACTGCTGCCGCCGTAAGCGGCTCGGGCCGGGTGGCGGCGCGCGCGCCGGGGCGCGGCGGGCGCCGCCGGGCGCCGCGCTGCCGTCCGGTCACGCCACTGGGGCTGGCCGCCAAATACGGCGGACGTGGGCCCGCGGCCCGGCCGGACGTGAGGTCACCGGGCGAGGCGTGTCACCCCGCGCGGGAGGCGCACGCCGGCACCCCGGGCGCTGGCGCGTCACCCCGCGCGGGAGGCGCGCGCCGGCATCCCCGGATGCTGGCGGGTCACCCCGCGCTCGCGGGAGGCGCGCGCCGGCATCCCCGGATGCTGGTGCATCACCCCGCCGCTTGCGGCAGGCGCGCGCCGGCACCCCGGGCACTGGAGCGTCACCCCGCCGCTCGCGGGAGACACGCGCCAGCACGCCTCGGGCGGGGCGCGTGCAAGACCATTCCAGCCTGCACCAATGCCCGCCGGCTCCCGGCCCGTAATCTACGGTTAGCTGGCATGCAAGCGAGGCGGTAGCTAGAGGGAAGACAAAACATTACTTACTACCACATGTTTAGATGACTTTGGCATGCAATACATCGCATCTGAAACACCCAGAACATGCATTTAGGTCGGAGTGTGAGACATGGGACGACAAGAGCGTCACAGAGCGCCGGCCACGGGGTCGCCATGCTGACGGGCGCCGATCTGAAGAGGTCGGCTCAAGTCCGGGTCAGCCACAACCGGATCTTAATAGGGCTCAGCAAGTCGGTGCGGTGTGTTCTGCAGCTGAGCCAGGGCGCGGACGCCTACCGGTTGGGTCGGATCAGCTCAACTCCCCATGTGACGTGCAGTGGCCGCAGGGTAGCTACATGACCTGAGCATCGGTTTAGCGCGCGGAGTAGCAGCAAAGCGCAAACGCGGTGCTTTTAAATACTGAGCGGAGTGTCACGTTTGGCTGTCGTGCTGGTGTAAATCGCTGTTTTGCCAGGCTGGCGCGCCGGAGACGGATGCTCCAGCGCGTCACAAGTGAGCTGTATTGAGCCCGCTGGCCAGTGACTGGCCCTGCCAGCCCTTTCCGCCGTTTCCATGCCGGCGGGCGGCGTGGTCTGCCTGCTTTGGCGGGACGCGGCGCAGGGCCGGCTCCGGCAGCCGGGGCTCGCTCGACTGGACTCGACCCGACTCTGCAGGACCATCTGCAGCGCCCGGCGCACTCCCTTCCCGCGGCCGCAGACGCCAGACGCCAGACGACCCGGAGAGCCTCCGGCGCCGGCGAGCGCCCAGGCGGCCGCAGACGCCAGACGCCAGACGACCCCGAGAGCCTCCGGAGTCGGCGGGCGCCCCGGCCGCTGGGCCCGGCCGGGCCGCCGGCTTGACCGGGCTGTACTTCCGCGCCGCGCTCCGCCCGGAAGCCGGACCGCTGGCCTCGCCACCGCGCGGCCGGCGGCGCCACCGTTTTTACAATGGCGGCCGGCGCCGCGCGCCGCTCCTGTGTTACACGATCATAGCGGCTGGAATCTCATTCATTCGCCGGGCGGCCGGCGGGCGCGCGCACGCCGCTTTGTTGACACGCGCCGCCGCCGGCCGGTGAGCGTGAGAACGGCCGAGCCGCGGGGAGGGTACCGGGAACGCGCGCAGGCGGGTTCAAAAGGTTATCGCCAGGAATCTGTGGGCGGCATTTATGGGAGTAATAAATTGGTGGGGCGTATCAGATATCCCGGGACCAGGCTTGCAGGTGTTATGAGTCAGTTTGGGAACCAGGCAATCCAAGAATACAGCGATCAGGCGTGTGAGCTGATGTATACCTACAAGAATGGGAAAGTATTGCAATTCATGGGCCTATGAGGAAAGCATCTGTGTTATTTAAACAGTGAAATTGCATTGAGCAGGAAGTCAAGTATTCTGTCTTACACCCCCACGGTGCTCCGAGTAACTCGGCACAAACTGAATACACAGCCTGGCAGTTTGCACTTCGCAGCTAATGCACAAAACCATGCACATTACATCTTCCTGCGGTTTGCGACACGGTATAAGCCCCAGTAAATCCGATATCGAACTGTGGGGTGCAGGCTAACTGCATTGGAGAAGGACTGAAAGTGACCCACTATAACTTATTCGTATCTTTTTGGACTCATGAAATCAAGTTGCATACATTACGAACAGCGCATCAACAATCCCTACCATTTGGTGAAATTTACTAAAAAATACATTCCCAAATGACTTCACCGCCAGTTTTCAAATGCTAGTGTTCCAGTAATCACTCGTGCAGCCGGCCTACAGACATGACATACTCCCGTAATCTTACTTGTGTTTTGTGCAGGACGTTGCAGTTCCACTGCATTCCCACTGTTTGACAGTCCGCGAACATTCCCACTGTTTGGCAGTCCGCTAACATTCCCACTGCTTGACAGTCCGCTAACATTCCCACTGTTTGACAGTCCGCTAACATTCCCACTGTTTGACAGTCCGCTAACCGCAGCATTAAGAGAGTGCCCCTCTGAACACTTCATGGCTTAGCAATATGGTACATCCGAAGCTGTATGCCTAACCCGTAATGCTGTGATCTCATTGCACACGCCCAGCCAAGAAGAAAAACGTTCGTTCTACCACGTGATTCAGCAAGCAGTGACTTGCTGCATGGCTTCCTCCTCGTGACAACGTCAGGTGGGCGGCGGCGCTCTTAAACGTGGCCAATCTACCGTTAAGCCGCGCTCTGGCCGGGATTTCAGTCCGACAGTGGCTGTTGAGCCTGAGCCGATAGGCACGCGTCCAGATGGGAGTAGACCGCCGCCGGACGGTGCGGTGGCCGACTGTTGACGGGACCGGTATGTGCTGTTGGGCCCTGGGGTGACATGCTGTTCCGGGACACAAGACTACGGAAAGTCCCTGTCTGGGCGGCTGCTGTGCGCACCAGGTCGGGCAGTGCAGCGGCCGTCCCCTGAGAGGCAGCAGCGCTCGAAGGAAGGCCGCGGCAGCACGAACGGCCCGATGCGGGGGGCCAGCGGGCGGCGCCGTCGGCGGGGATAGCGGGGGGCACTGCATGCGCCGAGCACGAAGCTTCTATCTCAAGGTACCAAGAGGAGAGCACGTGCCAGTCTAAGTCACATTCAATACTTAGAGGAGAACGGTGCCTACCGGCGCTTACAGATGCAGAGGATTAGAAGTGCAACACTGGTTGCGCTGGTCGTGCAGGCCGCAGCACCGGGATGGCTGGGCTGTCGGTCTTACCTGGTTGGTAGGGACCGCGGTCTTAACACCTCCACGACGGAATATCGAATGGTGCGATGGTTCCGCCAGAGCACCTTGGTCTTCCATCTTCGTTTTTTCCACACATTTTTGCACAATGCGTGGCAAGTTTCATGACGTCACCCTGCCCTCCCCCACGACGCGATTGGTCGGCGGGGCGGTGACGCGCCGCGGCGGCGGACGGCCATTGGCGGGCGGCGGCGGTGGGCGGGGCTAGCCACCATGTGACAGGCCGGTGGACACCGGCCGGCCCGGCGGACGGCTGCCCGCTCCACTCCGAACAATGGCACGCGCCGGGGTGCCGCCGAAACCAGAGCAGCCATCCGTCTGGAATCTGTGGGTGGGTACAGCCCGCGTCCAGCCAATGTAGTGCAGGCAGGCTGAGCTCGGTCAGCCGGCGCACAGCTGACTGACCAGGCTGACTGACCAGCTGAGTGACCGGTGTGTCGGCCAGCCGGTGCACAGCTGACTGGCTGAACATCACCGGTGACCGGTGTGTCAAAAGTCGAAATTTCATTGCAAAGCGACACCTTTCACGCATACCATCGGGCTCCCAGCTTTGGTGTTTTTCCATAATATTTTACCTCTGTTCGTGCGCATGTTAAATTTTTCCACTATCACGGCTCCACTCGGAGTTTTGGTGGCGTCATGACTGTCGCCATGGCATCTTCTGTCGAAGGCATTTGGAAATACTGTACATACTGTCAAATGCTGCACATGCTGTCAAACACTACACATACTATTAAATATTGTAGTTTGACCGTATTTTTACTAAGTGCACACAGGACAAAATATACATGGTAAATTAGCACTAAGGATCACGATAACTATCAACAGCTCAGTAACATGTACCGAACACGACACAAGCGATACAGATTGGAAGTCTTTGCGTTTGACATATGAGCAGGCATCATTGCATGCCGAATCCGTCAATACTGAGCCAAGCAAGACAAAAACAGTGGGCAAACTGGGTCAGTGTCTATGCAATCATGGCAAATCCTCTGCGAAATTGGAGTGGTAAAAGCAATTGTTTGTCTCGGCTCTTGCTATAAGTCGTCATAGGACCCGTTATTTTCTCCATAGATGAAGGAGTCAGTTGCCTCTGTTTGCCCCCTCCCCATGAACCGCATCAAGCACATGTGCTCGCTGCATGGTCAACGGAAACTAAAAGTGGCGATTTATTGATCCAACAATGCGTGTTATGACACCACTTAGGACAGTGGATATCTGCGCAGTTCGTGTTAGAGAAAATCAGAGCACCTTTTGTGAAAACGTTCGGTTGCTTAGCTTTCTTTAACTGCATCAAAACTATTTTCCCTTGGCTGATCTCCACACGGGAGGACAGAATTATAACCGTGTATCCACAACGGTAGTTGATCATTACGTGCATGAACTTCGCACTCGGTAAACAGTTACTTCGAAAGAATCGTTTCCCAGACGCCCGTCATAATGCATCATTCCCCAACAGTGATGGTGTTGAATCAACAGTATTTGAAGGTAGCTGCTCACGCAGCTGAAACACCAAAGTATCCGACTAGTTTGGTTTGCACATGGCCCAGACAATGCCTATGGTCAAAAATTGTTTTCACACAAGACAAAACGTGGCTATGTACATTGGCCGAGGCGTCCAGCGTGTCCACGCGCATACAATGGCCGTGGCGGGGCGCCATGTTCGTGCACAGTTTTTGAGATGCTCCATTCAGCGCAGTGTTGGCCGAACCGTCGAAGCGTTTCATTGCAAAATGGAGCG